TGTACCTCTGGTGCAAATTACTGACCTCTGTCATCATTTTAAGTGGGGGAACTTGCACAATCGGTGGCTGACTAAATACTTTTTTGCCCCACTGTAGATTTCATCTTTTATATTATTATTTTTGGCTATATATTGTAAATTTGAGAGAATACAATATTAATATCATCAAAACATATGTACCGAATAATATCAATACTGAAAAAAGTCACTGATGAATCTGGAGTTATTCACAAGTTTTGCTGTGTGTTTCATGGGTGCTTTACTCTAAAGACATCCTACAAACGTTTCTTGTAAATAAACAAAGATAATGTGCATTCATCCAAAAGTCATTGTGTGGGTTACGTAACCTACCTGACGAAGTGAAATAGGCTAAAAGATCTCAAAAAGCAACACACCATGGCATAATATAAAGAAAAAACAGAGAAACAATGTCATTGATATCTGTCATTCTGGAAAAGGTTACAAAGCCATTTCTAAGGCTTTGGGCACAATAAAAGCAATTATCCACAAATGGAGAAATCTTGAAATACAGGTGAATCTTCCCAGGAGTGGCTGGCCAAACAAATGAACTCCAAGAGTGTATCAAGCATGAATTGAATGAATTGTTCTTTCTACCAAAAATCTGGAAGAAAAAGACTCAGTCAGCCTCACTTAATGATCTAAAACACACCAGCAAGTTCATCTCTGAATGGCTCAAAAAAGAAAGAAAGAAATAACAAAATGAAGGTTCTTGCTGCCAAGGGAGGCACAACAAGTTACTGTATAAAGATTAGGGATTACTTAGTCACAGGGGGAGGGTCTGTTTTCCCTTGATAAATGAAACCATCCTTTAAAAACTGCATCATAAGGAACAGCCAGCCTGAGACTCACACATGCAGGTACAAGGGCTTGAGGGAGACAAAAGGAAGGAGAGAGCGAGGGGAATGAGAGAAAGAAAAAAGGATGGCAGATACAAGCAGTTATTCTAACAGCTCAAGACGAATAAGGGATCAGATGAGAAACCAACCTTAATGTGAGGGTTTATTGATTATTTCTCAGATTATTGTGACTCAAATAGTTGACATGCAGAAATGTCATGACATGTAAAAACTGAAACGAAACACAACAGACGGGTGAAATGTGACTGCAGAGTATCAAGTGTGTGTGTGTGTGTGTGTTCATATATGTGTGTTAAACAGGTAAACCAGTGGTAAAGGGCACAAATGTAAAAGAAAACAGCTCCAACAATGCAAACATGTCAATAGCCTAATAGTATTATCACAGTATGGCAAGTAAATAATGAATGAATAAATCGTGAGTTAGCATAGAACAGAATAGGTGATTTAGGCCACAGTCACACGAAAGTATAAATAGGACGACCACCAACTGGTCGCCCGCAAGCTGAGTCTGGTGGGTGGCAACCTGTCTCTGTCAGACTCAGAATGAAAACAACCACTCTTAAACAAGGTCTGCAATTAATTGCCACATGATTTATAAATGCAAATGAATTGCTGACTCTTGCAATCACTTGAATCAGTCTGCCCCATTGTGTGCCAAATTGTGACAGACACAAATTGAAGACACTAAGCTTTTTGGCAGTAAAATTTAATGAGTATATATGAGTCATACAAATACACGCACACAAAAAAGAAATGCAATGCAATGGTTGGGAAGGACAGTTAAATTCTCACCACAAACCACACAACAGCTGCAAATGCTTCCTGGAACATTAGGTTCCAAAAGCAACATCCTGTGGTATTATCATATGAATAACATGTTAACAATGCATAGCTTTTCTGGCAATATTAAAATAAATATTTAATATTTAATACTGAACTGTAAATTTAGTCTTTTTCAAGGAAGCAATTTTATATTCAGTGTTTTCTTAAAAGTCTTGTTTTATGCATTTACTACTACTAGGGAGAACAAACACGAGGTTTAAGGCCTGGACAAGTTTAAAACTTTTGTCCTCCACAATTAAAATTTTAAATGTTGAAAATAGGAACAGGCATCACTTTAGCCAGCTCCTAATTGGATCAATTCTGTACTCAGCTTTGCAGTCTTCAGTATCATTGAAAAGCAGCCAGATGCTGCTTATTTCACGTTTTTACTCGTCTCTTTCTTTTTGCCGACACGCTTGCATTGAAATCCAGCTCCTCCCTCTCTCTGTGTACCTTGCATGTACCACTACACTTGCTATTTTCAGAGCTAATGCCCCCCTTCCTTCTTTCACATAATGGTATGATCCCAGTCTGCTGTTTCATGTGATTGGCCGCATGGTCTTCTCAGGAGACTGAAAAGATTTGGCACGAGCCCCTGCATCCTCAGGACCTTCTATCGCTGTGCCATTGAGAGCATCCTCACTGGATGCATCCCCACCTGGTATGGCAACAGCACCGCTTACAACTGCAAAGCTCTCCAGAGAGTAGTGCGGTGTTCTGAAAGGATAATTGGAGGTGAGCTTCCCTCCCTCCAGGACATCTACAGGAAGCGGTGCCTGAGGAAAGCGGGGAGGATCATCAAGGACTCCAGTCACCCCAGCCATAAACTGTTCAGACCATCGGGAAGGAGGTTCTGCAGCATCCGGTCCCGTACCAGCAGACTGAGAGACAGCTTTTTCCATCAGGCCATCAGACTGCTGAACACTTCATAGACACCTCACCTCCACTACTGGAACTACAACATTATGCACTACATACTGTACATTAATGCCACTTGTTTTGCACATGTCTCAACCAACTCTGTATATTTTTATATATTTTATTTTATTGTTTACTCTATTTAATTTGTAAAATATGTATACACACACACACGTAGAAAAACATATACACATCCAGTAATGCATATACTATTATATATTGTACAAATATTTATTAGTCTCAGATTTAGCCATTCTTATATTTTGCTTGTTTTACGTTATTGTATTTTTGCACAACTCTGTTGCTTGTGAAGCTCGCACACATGAATTTCACTCGCATGTACTGTACCAGTGTACCTGCACATGTGATGTGACAATAAGAGTGATTTGATTTAATTTGGTGTGACCATCAAAATAGAATCCATCCCTTGCCTGCATGGATTCTCAGCAGGGCTGAGATATTGGGGCCTGATATAATTGTATTTATATGTCTGCAAAGTGTGGTGCAGTAACATTACAACACCTCTTCATCCAAATCCTTGTAACAAGCAATATATGGAGACACCTTGAACTTGAGCTAAGTCACTTGGTAACTCAACACCAATTAGTTCACACTTCTGTATGTTCTCAGTACAACTACAATGAAAGATGTCTAAGAACTCTGTTTAAATTCAGCTGCCTGAACTGCGATAGTAGATTTTGCCATGGTAGCTGGCCACATGAGCCCTAAAGGGGCACTTAATAGTTTTCCCACAGCTTATGATGGTTCTCTGTCTTGATCCAAGACAGAGAACAAGGAAGATACAGATTTCTTCTGTTGTGGAAGCATGCAGTACTTTAAGAAGATTGAAATGGTTGAACTAGAAATGTACCAGCCTGCTCAAAGGTTGGTACATTTACCAATAAAATTTATAAATTTTAAAATTTATTTACCAACATTTACCACCTGGATGTAAAACGGCTCATTCATAAGCTACTGCACAAACAGATTCTCCTCTTAGGACAATACACAAGTAAAATTTTGGATAAAGATTACTCCATCAGCATATTTCATTGGCAAATTAAGCGTGCCACACCTTCACTAAGTTCTTATTTATAAATAACTGTGACTTTATGATCCCCTTTAAAAATGCACTCATAAAGTAATATGTGTGTTTATGTAATATATGATACATCTAGTTCTTTCATGCATAATAGTCACTACAGAGGGCAGCTATTGAAAAACGGTTCTCTTGTATATGCATGTGTTTTGTTGTTATAGTTGCATATCAGCTAACACAGTGTTGCTTGTGCATCTTCCATACACTGCTTCCTATTGGTCAGTCATGGAAAGTGCAGTTTATTTCACTCAAACCAAGATGGTGGCAGGAAGTCAGAAATGCTGAACATCTATGGAGTCTTGTAAATTGTAAATTATTTTATAGGATTTTCTTGCAGGTAGAAAAAATACGCTAGCATAAAGTAAAATCTGAGGATTCATATTATTGTAAAAATGACAAAATATTTATTTTGTGTTGGGTGAAATTTGCAATTAATCACATGTCCACTAAATTAATGGCTATAATTTAACTGAAATTCATATCATTACCGTAACCTTGTTGTTCTTGATAAACTTGATCTGCAGGACTTCTTTTTTTAATGTAAAACAAATTGATATTTGTTAATATTTTTTTTTGAAAGCAAAACTAATTTTTTGCATATTATCTTCGTGAGTTACTGTCTTAATATTTTGTATAGTTGAAGTTCAGAAATAAAGGAATAGGAATAAGATAGGAAAGCCTACAGGATACTGGAGGATATACCATCTGAGTCAACTGAGGATTCCAGGCTGATGAATGACTGCTAGAAAAACAAAAAGAAAGGATTATTCATGATTATTCAGTGATAGCAGCAGTGATTGTGGAGTAGCTGTGGGTGGAGAGGTGGACGGTAATGCTGAGGAAGAGGAGGATGTACCACAAGGCAAGAAAGAAACATTTGTACACCCAAAGACAATATATTAGTTTATTTCTATTTTTTCTTTTGTTTAATTCTGTTTAGTTTTTTTAGTTTTGTTATTTATTTATTTATTTATGTTAAGTAATTATTAAATTGGTTCAAAAGTCAGCTGAGTGGACATGTTTATAATACCATGGAAAATGGGCTTATAAACAAACCACTACAGAGCTGCGTGATATTTGAACAAAGAGTTGCACTTGTTGAGATGGAATTATTTGAAGTGCCTCAATTCTATGCTTTATATTAACTAAA